GGCGGTAGACCTCACGCTATTGGCGACATATGGTGGTAGACCTCACGCTATAGTAGCACCGAATAAACATATTCTGATACAGTACATTACCTCCTCTCACATAAACAGCTATTCTTGTACAGTGCTGCTCTCTATATGCAAACTTGTTTTTACTCATGCCACAAGTCTTCTGCCTCCCCTCCATTGGAAGAGACTCCAATGTGTTTCTCATGCAAATCATCATGCGACACCCTTCCACCAATTATAGTGCCACACACTTTTGTTATGCATGTGACTCCTGCTTTTTCCATTCTACCAGACTATCACTTATTATTTGGCAGTACTTGTGTTCTAACGTTTAATTTGTGCTCTCTTCAAATGTTTTATTTTAATATTTTTCTTTGTATTAATTTCTCTCAACAAGTTTACTCTTTATTATACAATAGTGATATTTGTAACTTCTTGAGTTATTCCGAAGTGGAATTATTTTACATTTCTAACCAGTTACAGAACTTATTTAGTTATTCCAAAAAACTTTTATTGTTTCTGTGTTTGGTTATTCATTTTGCATTATGAATTTTCCATTACCACTTCAGAGGTTATATGTTCTATTAGCACTTTCCACAGGCTTCAGGTCATAGTAGTCTGTGGGAAGATTTTCAGCTTTACTTCATCTGTAGATTGTTTGTCCTGTGAACTGACTTTCTTTGGGACTTACTTTGTTTTTTTTTGGGCCCACATATTTGCCATACCATTTGCCGACTTTGGAAAGATAAGACGTTATACTTTTATTGTTAATATTATTATCTGTTGTTATTTGGGTTCCATAACACAAGTTTCTTTTTTGATGGTTAATACTCAGAGTTACATTTAGGTTAGCCAGTAGTCTTAGTTGTAATTTGCTACTATTCCATTTGCTTAGGCTTACCATGGTCTTTGTTATTTTGGTTTTAGGATTACCTGTAATTCATCTTACTGATATATAATTAATTTCACTATATTGTTTTTCTTCCTATTCACTTGGATTGTGTGAAACTCTTGAGCCGGTGTCCACACAAACTTATTCCAATATTGTATATACGTATTGTTTGGTTAAGAATTTCTTTCAGAGCTTAGTGATATTTTTTTATGTATTGTTAAATTAGGCTTTTAAAATGTTTATTTTTGGTTTACCAGTAGTTCTACTTCAGTGTTAATCATTAATTACGTTAAATATCTTGTTTGATTAGGCTTAATAAGTGTCTGTTAATTTCGGTTTCCTCGTGGTTCTTTTTACGGGTTCATTGATATTTAGGTTATCTTTTCTTCAACACAGAACATCACATCCATCTGTTTATTTCACTACACAATTTCTTACCATTAATTTAGTGTAACTTATACTTTATACTTTTAGCCTTTACTTTCATTTAACTTATAATTTTTAATTCTTACCATTAATTTCGTTTGTGAGGGCCCATGGGGGCCGAGGCCCAACCTCCCTGCTCCCAGTATTGCTCGTCTTCCTCCTATAATAGCAGAACCAGTTTCTCATATGACCTAGATTTGTCAGTTTCCTCCTCCTTCTCACGGAATGCATTCCAGGCCTCTACTGCAGAATGTGCCTGGCCTATCCAAGTTATTTTTTGACACTTTTCCTCCACTACTTTATCTGTATATTTTCCCTCTACCCTTACCCATTGGATTTAGATTATGATGCAATTGGCTTTTTCTTCCCATCTTCAATTCCTGATGTCTTCACTCATAACCTGCACTTCCTTTTTTTCCTGCATGTCTACCCTGTCATTGGTTGGAGGTACTTCATCTGTCGAGCAATGGGACTACATCTCACATGTTCTTCTTCCATTCTCTGCTTTGGGTAGCTGTTTCTTTCTTGTTGCAATACTGTCATTCACCAGTTACCATTTTTCACTCTTTCATGAGACTGTAACTGGGTAAATTACCTTTTCTTATATATACCTCTTCTTTTTCAGGGGCATGTCCCCTTTTTCTTACTCTGTGTTGAGTGGTGCCAAACCAGGTATTCTTTAACATTTAAAATCTGTTCAACCATGTCAACTTGCTTATTATGTACCATGGCCACGCAATGCACACTATTGAGATGGGGGTGTACCAAAAGATTGCTTGAAGGTTATCCTCACGATGAAATTGCTTCATAAATATCCCCATCCCGGACCGTTCCATCCATGGACTACATGGGTAAAGCAGAAGGGGATAGCTGCCCATCCCTGCCATGCCTTGTATTGAATAAATCAGTATGGTCTGCTTTTAAAAATAGGGTTTCATGGTCATTACACTGTCTCAGGTGTTGACGTTCCTCCAGACTCTCCACTGCATTTCACCCACCCTTTTCTTCTAGTGGAATTTGGGAGTTCTTTCCACTTTCCAAGCTGCTGGGGTGGTGGACCATGGAGGCATCCTCCTGAATGGTTTAATGCAGTAACATATCAATACAGATATACCATTCAATGCAGAGGAGGGAGGTGGTGTTCTGCTGGTGTAGATGACGTGATATCCTCCACTATAAAGCATATGAAAATGAAAGGAATGAGACGTCAAATTGCAGTTCACCCTTTAGATTGGGATCCCTCCTCCTACCCCTAAGTGGATGTTGGTTCCCAGTGGCATGGGTTTTGGATATAGTTGGCTTGCCAAGTGCAGTCCGTCACGCCCTAGCCACTCTACACCTGGGGGCACTTCCATTGTTTTTCCCACACATTTGGATGTGCTCCTCTGTTTTTCTGCCCATATATACCACATCTTTCTCCAATTAGTGAAGAGTATACCTGGTTCAGACGTAGTGCGGTCTCCCACATCACATCTTTGGATCTGACTCTCTAGTTTCAATGTGTGTCCCTTGGAATCTTTCAAAGGATGCTTCATTTCTTCCCTCACACTAGTCTCTCTACCTATTCAATGTGGGATTCTAGCTATTTATGTTAGCGGAAGTAATGTACCATATCGGAAGTTATAATTTTCCTATATATTTTCCATTTCTGCCAAAACTTGAAGTGATAGTCTGGTAGAATGGAATAGAGGAAGTAACATGCATAACAAGAGTGTGTGGCACTCTCATTGGTGGAGAGTTGTTGCATGATGATTTGCATGAGAGACACATTGAAATAAGTCATTTTCAATGGAGGGGAGACAGAAGGCTTGTGGCATGTGTAAAACTTTTTTTTGCATATAGAGGGCAGCACTGAACAAGAATAGCTACTTATGTGAGAGGAGATTAGTACTTATCAGAAATACATTTTCAGTATAGGAAAATTATAACTTTTGAAAAACTACATTTTTCATGGAGAAAAAATTGCAAACATTTTCCAAACAAAAAAGGATTTTAATTCATTAGTAGAAATACTGACAAAAAAGCTTTTAAATGTATCAGAGATGATGTATGTAGATGAAAAGTAACAATGGAAACTGACATAATATTCAGTGAAAAATGTTTTTTTTAGAGAAAAGTATTCATTATTTTGTAATATTTGTGTGTGTACATAGATGTTTTATCAAAAGTGTGGGTCTTAAAATCTGATAATTTTCAATGATAGTTTATCTAGATAATATTTTATGATGGTTCCCTAATGAAATATTTGCATGGAATTAGGTCTATTCGTGCCAATGTGGAGTTTGATCATGCTACTCGAGTGAAATGGAGTCCAGACAGTAAAGCTTTCATTATCTGTCAGGGTTTAGGAAACACTATACAGGTGTATAAGGTTGGGAAGAAGGATGATGGTTCTCCAGGAAACATTGAACCAATACTAACATTTCCTCAACATCATACAAAGGACATCATCAATATAGGAATATCTTGCAATGGTCGATTCATTATGACATGCTCATCTGATACCCTGATGGTCATCTGGGACTTGAAAGGTATAGTTTATCTGAAAACAAGTAATTTTCTCTCACTGTAATAGTTCAAGGCAGTGGTTGCATTAATGCAAAATAAATCAATTGAATAGAAGAAAATCTCTGCATTCACAGGACATATAAAAATGGTAAAGGGATGCATTAATAAAATAAGATGCTTCTTAACCCTTTCCAGATTGTGAGGGTGTCACTGATACCCTTCAATGTTTTTCCTCCTTACAGTGGAAATACATAACCAAATTGCATGAAACTTAGAACCAACTTACTAAATACTTAAATAATATCTATTTTCGGCTTAACGAAATTCATATAATTTGATTTAGTTTCTCTGTCATTTTTTTTACATATGTTAGATGTCCAAAATCTTGTTGTGAGATACTGTTTTAAAATTTCAGTGTTTTAAAATATTCATGAATAAGTTCCATAACCACATTCTCCACTTTTGAAGAAGCTGTTTGCCTGCATGACATAAGGGAAGGGCCTGATATAGAATACTTAAGCTACATTTGTGCTATTAAAATCTTCACTACTACAGACAGGCACAAGTTCTGACTTTAAATATGCATAATAACTTCATTTAATTAACCCTATCACCACGGGTATCCTTTACCGTGCATGACACAAGGTTTTAGTGTCTTACATTCAAAATTTTATTAATCTACATTTTGTTATGTTATACCAATTAGAATAGCATAAAATAATCCATATTTCAATAGTATACAAGTTTTAAGTTCTTAATTCTACAAGGCAATATAAAAAGAATCCTGAATTTCCACTAGTGTGACCCACATGACATATTTTCTCTTAGCATGTCATCATCCGTATTTTATCCACCACCCATCGAAAAAGTACGAAATTAAATTTAAATTACTCTCTATAAAATCGTTGCTCAAACATACCATAATTTTTATATCCTTCAATTTTGTTTGGTTATAGAGCTATTGAATAGAAAATCAGACCCCTCCTGTCACATCCTCTCTTTCAGAATTCGTTGATAGTTCTCTCTTATGTTTCATTATATATTACCTATAACCAATAGAAAGTCAAGGTTTTCATCTATCAGATGTCGTATCTTATAACGTTGTGTTCTGAAGGGTTAAATGTCAATTTCACTCAGAGTACGAACGTCATTCCCGTGGAAAAGGTAACGATTAGCTTGTATGAATTTGTAAAGGCTCTTGTCACATAGGTAGAAAGCCAGGAATTTTTTGAGAGGTAAGTGAATTTATCTACTTTTTGCATGTTATTAGTCTATATTCTTTTGTGCATTATTTAATTGAATAAAAATTATTAAGTGCATTACTATCTGTAG